GCCCGGGTGGCAAGCCTTAGGAGAGCCCCTGCTGCCGCTGCTGCCGCTGCCCTCTGCGCCAGACCACGCTGCCGCCACCGTGCACCACTACCCCTTGCTCAACGGGCAGGTAACGTGTGGCCCCCGTCCGCGACCTCGGGCTCAGGGTTGCCGGCTTCCCCCAAACCCCTTGGGCTCAGTCCTCGCCCAGCACTGGGCGGCGGTGGCCCTCCGGCTTGTGATCTTTCCTTCCCTCCTAGTCCTAGGCTTCTCAAACCATCAGGAGGCAGCCTGGTAGCCATGCATCGGCAAGAAAGTTCATGCTTCGACGTCCCGTTTTGCCTTTCGGCAGTTTTGCAGTATCTTTTCTTGATCTTTCAATCTCGCAGTTTAGAGATCTGCATCCTGAGGACAGAGTTGGGACAGCCTAGCCACAACTTTCACCCGGTCCAGGGGGTCGCTGTCCAGAGCGCGGTGCTGAAGTAGCCTCTGCCAGAGCCGGGCGTTGCAGCCGCGTGTCTTGGTTGACTTCTCACACAGAAGTTAATACTTTTACAGTCTCTGCCAGACTTGAAAAGCTAGCTGAGAATCAATAGCTATTTCTGATTCTGATCTGGTTTGGATTTTTCCCCCTTTCATTTGAAAATAGATTCAGGGCAATGTTTAAGAGAATTCAAACCAATGGAAACCAGCAGGGAAAGCTAGCCTTCAGTACCGAAGCACGAATATTACTAGTGATTTCCCTAACTACCCTAGACCTGCCTGAGTCCAGCAAATTCGCTAATGCTATATTGCACTTTAGAAGAGTTGTGCTTTTAAAGCTTGGAATTAAAAAGGAAAAGTGACTGTACCTTTGATTGATGGTGCAACAAAGCAAGACAATCTGGATTTGGGAAAAATCCCTCTTTTTACCATCTAATTTTGCAGCTCCATTCAAACCAGGAAATAACACGTATTTTAGCCCAAGGATTGGCCTCATTAACATATTCAAATGAGTGTTATGTTTGAATAAACCATTTAATTAATTTAATTGCAATATTGTTAGCTTTCCTGAAAGAAATTGTTAAGCTCCTCCTTAAATTGGTCTTTATATTTAATGATATATTACATATTCAATGCTGGATATCATATTTTGATGTCAGATGCAGTTCATATTGTGTTTTATTGAATAAACGTTTGTAGTTTTTGCCATATTTTCGAAGAGTTGTTATAGCACAGTGCTACCACTAGAGGTATATAATGTCAAGAAACTACAGTTTTTTTCTCCCCTCAATTAGAAAACTGCATTTTTTTTCTGGTATAAATTTTTTTTAAAAAAAGATTAAACAAAAGCTTGAGATTAACATCCTTGCTTTATATGTTCTATTAAGTAATAAAGCTTAGAGCCAGAAAAACATTTTCACATAGCGGGAAAATTGAAATGCTTTTATGGTTTTAAAACAATAGATATTGAAGTGTTCTATGTTATTGAGCAATACATTTTATTAGTTCTACTTTGATGAAGACTCAGTTATTTTAATTTGGGAATCTGTTTCTAAGTAGTCTGCCTCTTTTTCATGTTTACCGTTTTATTCTGTGCATTGGGACCTTCAGTTAGATGATACTTTCATTTTCATTACTGTAGAATATATTTGTATAAGTGAACCTTGGGAAACTTTGCTTCTGGACTTCTTAACTATTTTTACTTTGAAAATATTAACTAAGTATTTTTTTAAATAATAAATGTAATGAATACAAAACACTATATTGAAAAGAATATCATAAAAATCTAGCTCTACATTTGCTTATGAATTCAAGAATTATTGTAAAAATACCAAGCATTTATCCTTTCCATTGTGGTTTCTCATTATTTCAGGACAGAAGCACATTTCTTACCGTGTTCTCATATTTTTGTACTTAGTAGTTATTTTTCAGCATCAAAGAATGCACTGTTAGTAATGCTTTGTGATGACCCAGATATGAAAGTTTTTATATATTTTTCTTTGATTTATAAACATTTATAGTTTTTAAGGACTGAAGAAAGAGGAATTTTTCTCATGATCAAATACATGTATTTAAAATTTTCTATTTTGAAGGCCTTATTCTGGCATCTTGCTACTAAGTAGAGTGGATTGATTTAGGATAATGAGCATTCCTTTTTCTCTCTCTCTCTTGGTTGCAGTGGCTATTTGGTGGCCATTCTCCATCAATAGGACTGTCTCCCTCTTCCACTGTGGAATTGGTACCCATTTTTCCACATGTCTGCCCATCTACACTTCCACCTCCTGTTGGGAAAAGTTGGATAGATAAAAGGATACCTAATTGTAAGGTAAAAATTCAAGTAATCTAATTAGATAAATAGACTTTTAGTTATGAAGCTGTTGGGTATTATTGTAACAGAAAACACTGTTTTGTTATTGTTGTTTTAGTTTTGGTATGAGGTGCATGCACTCACCGGGAAAAGACAAAGAGAGACAGAAAGAAAGATAGGGAAAGTGAGAAAGCACCCCTCAGGGGATGGACATACCGCAATCCCTTCTCCATTTTCCTCTTGGAGTTCTGGGCATACACTCACACAGGCCTGGAGTGGTTTTTAAGGCTTCCAGGTCTGGGACTACAACCACATAGTTGACTGAGTGGAATCCAGCCTCCCTGGCCACCATACCATAGGCTAGACCATCTATTTTCTAGTTGCAATAGATTGACCATCTAAGTTTACACCAAAATCATTTCAGAATTGGATTGATCTGCTCAAAAACATCAGCAGATGGGAGGGCATTTGTTTTCATTTAAAATACTTGAACTCCATAGAGCAATGTGCAATTTCTAATTTCTGAATTAAAACCTACTTTTTAAAATGTTTCTGTTTTCAAATCTGTAAACATTAATCAAAATCTAGCCTTAGACATAATATTACACGAATTTAAATTATAAAAGTAAGTTTTTCTTGCTACTAGTGCTTTGCATTTTCATCTTTCTGGTGGTTTGTTTTGGCTTTTGAATTCAAATTTACTGACTATATTTTGCTTACTTGAAAACTAAAGAAAAAGTATGTTGAATTGTTCTGCAACACACTAGTGATCTCATTGGGATGACTCCAATTCGTAAACTAGCTACTGGGCTGAACTGACCAAGTCAGTAGCAGAGGAACAGTCCAGTCTAGGAGACTTTAATTAGAAGATTGGTATCAGAATCCCATGGATCTTTCTTCAACTTTTAGAATGATGCTTTTGGGGACCAGTAGGTGGCATGGTGGTTAACTGGCTGACGGTGGTTCAAGTTCTGGACCTGGCAGCTTGAAAATCAGTCTAGGCTTGTGTGCATGCATGCCTGAATCCCAGAAGGAGAATGGAGGAGAACGGATTGCAACATGGCCATTCCTCCCAGGGGAGTGATTTCTCACTTTCTCTCTCTCTGTCTCTGCCTTTCTCTGGCAATTGCATACACCATATGGCAAAAATCTGGGGGAAAAAATGCTTTTATATAGTTCCCAATAATAGAATGTAAAATATTTGATCAACATAAGACAACATAAATATTTTCACAGTAGTGTTTAGATTTTATTATGTAACTTGCCTGAAATGTTTTTCTTGCATTATTTTTGGACAGATCTTTTTTAATAATTCCTTTGCTCTGGACTCAACCTGGATACATCCTGAGGAATCAAGATTGTTACATGGACATGAAAAGCCTCATTTGCTGGCAAATCAAGTAGCTATGTCCCTGTCCAGGCCAGCTCCTGCTTCCAGGCCTCTTCCCACAGTGGTGTTAGCACCTCAGCCTATACCAGGTTGGTGCCTAAATAACAGTAAAAATGTGCTTGTATTTTTTATATTAGTCATAAGATAATTTGAAGTAGAGAACCTATGTTTAATGAAATAATTCTCTTAGTAAAATATAATTATGTTTCATGGGCATGAATCTTGTTTTTATGAGTCTTGGGTAGATTACCCGCTATGTTTTCAAATATAGGATCTATTTTTAAGATAAAGAGATGGCTGACAGAATTTGTACAGAATAGTATTTGCAATGCTCAGTTTTTAGAGTGGAACCTTGCTTTATGCTGACAGCTATTAAGATAGGGATACTCACTTATCTGTCATCGTAAAGAATGTTTCTCATCTGAAGTGAGGTGCATGCAATGAAGTTTGCTGGTCTATAGGACCAGCCTTCATATTGAGGTGATATTGGGGATTGACTATAAAATGCCATGATGGGAAAATGGATTTTTGTTCTGTCTTTGAAATCAAGTGTCCTGAAAGAACATTTGTTCTTGAACAGGGTCCTTAAAATAATCCCTGAATGAAGGGTGGTATCATAAACCTTTATAGTAACAGGAGAATAAAGTCATATTATGAATTTTTGAGTGGATTTTTAAAAATCGCCTTAATGTATAATTGCATTATAGAAACAAATGTTGCCCGTGCCAATATTGTCTTGCAACATCTTCCATTATGGAATATTTTATGACTTCAGAATTACATTATCTTCCTGTAATTTCCTGCCTATCAAACTTGCCTCAATACATGTCTGTAAAATTTAGTAATAAGGAAATATTCCTGTGGAATAATACAGTGCTGGTTTAGGAGATATTTATTTTCTTCTTTGTTTGCCTACATATTTATTCCAATTTGCTACAAAGCTTGTTTAGTAATAAGTCATGAAGAACAACTCAACTATTTGTATTTCTCACAGACCTTAATGATTCTTGACTGAAACTTGCCTTCTGTCCTTGTAATTATACATTACTGATGAATTGAAATCTGAATGAGCATTGTGCATGCATACATTTATAAATATTTTACACTAAGATGATCATATTTCCCATTTAATTTAATGATGATAAAAGACAATTAGATGGTAAATACTTTACCAGAATGCCATGACTTTGGATAGTTCTTTTGGTATGTGGAAAAATAATATTTAATTTCCAAAATCATTGACAGTAATTGTCACCAAAATAATCAGCAAATTTAGTTTTTAAAAAATAGTGAAACAGAGACCAGCAATTAGCATAATGGCTGTGTCACTGGACTCCCATGTAGTCGACCGCGGTTCTAGTCCCGGACCCGGTGACTAAACCTCACTCCAGGCACGTGTGCGTGCATGCCCAAGATCCTGAGAAAAGAATGGAGGAGAAGGGATTGTGGTGTGGCCATCCCTCCTGGGGGAATGATTTCTCACTTTCTATCTCTCTGTCTCTCTCTGTCTTTCTGGTGAGTGCATGCGCCAAATAAGGAAAACCTCTCTTAAATAAATAAATAAATAATGAAACCAGTTCACCTGTTTCAACAAAATCTTTGCATCAGCTTTCCTCTGCTCAGCTCATCCCTACAAATAAAGCAAACATCCAAATAAACATATTTGTTGAACTGAGCTGGATATTACTGTGGGTAGAAATGTGGGGCTGGGTGATCTTTGAGATTTGTATTAATTGCACCATCCCTCACCTATTGTTGATTAAGAATTAACTGGGTGACACATGGTCTCAGATAATATGAGGACATCTTTAATGAATTTGAGTAAGTCATCTAAAATTTAATAAATACTTAAAGAACTCTATTTTTATGTGGACTTATTTATGATTACAATAATGATGATGATATACCTTTATACTCAAATCTCAAAAACAAAACAAAACAGACTATTGGCTACTTTAAGTGCAGAAAATACTTCATTCATTAGGAAACCTAAAGTATCCATGAACATTTTCTCTGCAGGCATGGTGCAAGAAGCTGTAGTTGTCCAAGGCTCTTGCCATAAAAAAATACAAAAACACAGACCGAGTGATTTAGAGATTTATTTCTCACAGTCTGGAAGCTGGAAGTTTGAGATCAGAGAGCCAACATGGTTGGGGGCTGATGAAAAATTCAATGAGCTGGCTTGTAGTTGACTGCCTTGCTAAGTCTTCACATGGTGCAAGGACCACGTCAGTTCTCTAGATGAGAGGTTTCTCTAAAGGCATTAATCTTATCATGACCTCATTTAATCTGGAGTGCTTCCCAAAGGCCCTCACTTTCTATTATCATGACCTTGGGGGTTAGGGCTTCAACATATGAATCTCAGGGTTGGGTGAATAGGGAGACATATGCATTCAGTCCATACAAGTTCTGTTAAAGAGCTTACAATCTAGTCTAGACTATGCAAGTCAGTAGATAATAACAATGCAATAATGTGTATTCTCTGCAAATGTCTGAGGAGAGCCTTAGGACAGGAATCATCAGGGAAGGCCTCTGGGGTTGATGTTAACCCAAGGCAGGAAAAGAGGAATGGAATTAAAAATAAATGGAATAGAGTGTTCTAAGACACAAAACCATAAAAAATGTTGTATGGTCAGGTAAGAGCAAGTACCTGAGTGTGGCTTAGCTGCAGAAGATGTGAAGTGGTAGAGTTACAACAGTAGGTGCAAGAGCTCGAGGGGCCTCTTCTTTTTCTTTTCTTTTCTTTTTTTCTTTTTTTTTTTTTTGAGAGATATTTGCTATAGGGTGCATGCACCCGCCAGAAAGACAGAGAGAGACAGAGAGACAGAAAGTGAGAAATCACCCCCCAGGGGGGTTGGCCATGCCACAATTCCTTCTCCTCCATTCTCCTCCTGGTATCTTGGGCATGCATGCACACATGCCTGGTGTGAGTTTAAGCTACCGGGTCCGGGAGTTCAGTGACATAGCCATTATGCTAACTGCTGGTCCCTCTAGGGGCCTCTTCATGGAGGATGCAAATAATCGAGTTAGTTGTGAGTCAGTCGTGAGTCAGTCCTGAGCTCTCTGTGAAGTTGTGAGAGATTTTTACATTAATCTTCCACTCAGGATCCATGGCTCTTCTGGGAAAGTACGAATTTACCCTTAGGAAGCAAAGAATCTACAAATGAGGCAAAGAAACTTTTCACTGATGAATAAATTTAAGCATACAAAAATATGAAACACTACAACTATTCTAGGAACTAAGGTCTCCAATTAATAATTTAGTGACTTTTTAATCGGTGTAAATGGGTTGGATTGAGAAGTAATCTAAGACTTATTAATTCCCAGGTCCCAGAATTTGTTGGCCCAGGGTGAGACAGGTGGGGTGAGGCAACATGTATCAGCACAGTCAACTCTCTTCTTTCCAGAAGCTTCTGTTAGTCATTTGATTTCCTCCTACCAACACTTCCCTTCTCCCTTACAATGGAGAATACCTCCTCTTCTTAGGTTAAAAAAAATAGGGAGTTGCGCTGAATTGTAGGTCAGTTTAGAAATAGCACTCTCTAAGGCGTCTCTGTGCTATCATTCTAGAAGAACTTTTTCAAATTATTCGGAAATAGAATGATTTATATTGAGAGTATCAATCAATGGGAGGAGAAGATAATTCAGCTTCTGTTCAGTAAAGATACATGAAGTAATCGTGTGTTGCTGAAAGCTGGAAATTTGTCTAAAAGTGTCCACATCATTTTGCTCTTCTGCTTAAGCTTAAAGAGCCTAATTCTAGCGACTGGGCTAGAACAACCAAGCAAACACTGGTTGTGCCTCTCCTCTTTCAAAGATGACTCAAGATAGATAAATGGAGAGAAATGGCGGATAGTATCTGAAAATATTCTGCTTCCTTTAAGATTCATTCTCTGTAAAGATGCAGAAGAAAAACACATCTGGAAAATGGATTTGCACAAGAACTTGTAAACATTTTGATAAATCAACTCTTTTTTCTAGAAATAATTTTTACTCTAGCGTGCATGTACTTACCAGAGAGAGAGATGGAAATATAGAAAAATTCTTAAGAATACGTCGATGTGACAAGGAAAACAAGATTGTAATAATGAGAGGTGAGAGATGTGTGAACTAGAAAATAAGCTACAGATATTTATTTGACCTCTTGAGAAAACTAATAGAATGAAGCAGAAGTATTAAAAGTGACAAAGTAAGTCATGTATCCTGCCCACACCAGTCTGGTGATATTTTATAAACTGAGAGGCTCAACTTAAAAAGAATGCAGATGTTAATATAACTTCAGGTAGTTTGCAGTATGAAATGTGATTAGTTTAGAGAATTATGAAGAAAAATGTTGGTGATAGGAGAAATGCACACCCCACAAAATAATAGTAAGAATACATAAGCAAGGAAAAGATATTTTCAAAAAGCAATAGTTTGACTTTGCCATATCTATCATTTTCCCCTCGGTTTCTACTTTGTCTAAAATTAACGTTGCTGCTACTCTACCGGCATCTTGAATTTTATTTTTCTTATCAGTCGTTGCCTTATTTTTTTGTATTAAGTTCAGGTCAATTGTTTAAAAGTGTAATCCCTGAATTTGCCTTTTAAAAAAATACTATTTAACAATTTTATATTAGGTCTGCTATTCTTTTGTTATGCTTTGGAATGTTTGCTTGATTTTATTTAATTTTGTTTTATATGGTTATTTGGAATGTGCTCAGACTGATTTTTTTTGTTCTCATGCAATTATCAGTAAGATTATTTAAAAACAGTAGTAAATTTACATTTTATCAACTTTCATATCATAACAATACTTTATAATCCTTTCATGAAACATGAGAAGTTTATAAAATAGTTTATTGATACTCTTTTCTTTTTTCTTTTAAATTTCTCAGCTAAGAAGTAAATCCAAAGCAGGAACCAATAATGAGAGAGTCATGTTTTAAAATATCTGTAATTGTCAACAATTTCTGTTAATCTTATCAAATTTATGTGAACATTTGTTAATGTGAAATAAGTGAAAAATTTAAAGCCATTTTCTTAATGGGGAAAAGATTATTATAGTAATTATAATCTGAACAAATGAAAGCAAATTATGTTGATAAAA